AGGTATTTCCACACCCGATTTTGGTATTTCCACACCCTTGTAAATTATAAATTATTATTATGAAATTACTGTATAACAATATTACGATAAGTGATCCAAATACTCCAGCTTAAAAATTGAGTAATATAATACGTATAACACTTTATTTTTGCTGCAACTTTATGTATTATGCTTATAATCAAAGGTGTGGAAATACCAAAATCGGGTGTGGAAATACCTGTTCCCTATTTTTATTGTTATATCCTTTTTTATAATAATTTCATGAGGTTTAAACCTCTGAATAATTACTAGAAACTTAAAATTACTACAGAAAAAATAAACTGAGCTTGAAGAATAGAAATTATTATAAATGTTTATACAGTATTAAATAACTCTAATAGCTCGGATATTCGATATAAATGGACACCAAGTAAAATACAACATATTAAATTCGAAATATTTATAAGATCTGAACTTTTGATATCTGAGGATATCTTATAATTCATAATATTTAAGAACATTCAATTCATAATATTCAAGAAATTTCAATGTGATATTCAAGAATAATGATTTATAATGTTCAACCTACAATATTAAAGAATGTCCAACCTCATATGTAAATTTAGATTTGATTTCCTTTATTGGAAGAATTTTGAGAAGCTTTAGATATTGAATACGTTGAATGTGACCTATTAAGTCCTTGGTCATTGATAGTTTTTGTAGAGTCTTGAAAATCATTCATTATTTCATTATGATCACCATCAGAATAATTTTGATATGAATGATATTTCGAAAAGTCATTTGATTGTTTAACATTTGCTACTATCACAGATTGTTCTTTCTTGAATTCGTTATTCGTGCCAGTTAACATTAAAGATATACAGAGTTTATATCGAATGTTTACGAACATACCAATGTGACTTGTTTTTAGATCACGTGGAATTCGTAAAGAAAGCTTTTGAGAAAGCTCATTATCTACGATTTTAGTTGGTCTTTCTTGACTAAAACAACATTCTTCCACATCTTCAAGCGGATTATCCTTTTCAAAAAATATTTGCGTTTCTAATTTCAAAGAAATTTTAAACAATATTATTTCAATTGTGTTGTGTGTTGTTGTGTTAAATTCAATTTTAATTGGAATATAAATCTTTTCCCCAACGCCCAAATATTCTGGAATCAGAAATGAATATCTGAATAAAGGATCTAGTCCCTGAGGATCATAATATGTATCTTTCACATCTATATAAGTCATTTGATTGTTAAATAATATTTGTTTCAACGGACAAATAATTTCAGCAATATCTCTTCTTGCCAATCTATTAGTTGTATGAACCGTCGCACTTAGTGTATAATTTATTTCACCACTTACATTATTCTTTTTATCATCAACATGAAAAGAACTTGATAAATTTGAAGGCAATGGAAAATTGAAGGAATAAGAATTCTTTCGCACAGGTTTTTCAAATTTAATATTTAAATATTTTTCCGTTAGTGTACGGTCGATATTTATATCATTCTTTGTTCTTCCTCTTTCTCTGAGTTGAATTCGTTCGATGCCTTTAAAATAAAATTCTATTGAGGAAATTGGATAATTGTTATAATTAAAATTCAGGTCTCCGGCCAAATAACTATCTGACATCCCTAGTTCTCCCCTTTGAAATGTTTTGGAAAGATTACTGTAGGCAAAGGTTCATACAACTAATAGATTGGCAAGAAGAGATATTGCTGAAATTAT